CCAGCAAATTTTGCTGCATCGACCAGCCTGGAGGACAGTGGGCCCTGCCTTGAGCTTATTTCCTCTCCTCATAGCAAGGAGCAGGGAACTCCCTGAAAGTTGCCCAAGTAGACAACTGTCCTGGGGCAGCCTCCAAAGGTGGTCCTTCTGAAGCCCCCCTGTATCTGAGGCAGATCTGTTCCAATTACCTTCTTTAAGCAATGGCTGGAGAATTGATCTCTTTTAGAACGCAAGGAAGCAATAGCCACCAGATGTGTCTAGAGCTGGCTCTCTAAAGAGAAAAATAAGAATGCTGACAGATTTCTAGTCAGAAACTTCATAGAATCATAGGTTAAAATGGAGCTTAGAGGACACTGGTCCAACCCACTGGCCAGTGTAGGGGTCCTCAGACCATCCCAAACGGTTGTCCACCCTCAGTATGGTTAACATTCATTTAAAGGACTTTTCTCAAGCCATTCCACAAAAAGGAATTTGGAATCGGAGTCTTCTTCAGTAACCAAGTGGGGGATTGAGAGGGCGGCTTGGTACGCATCTGAATGTGCGGTTGTGCAGTTGGCTTCACCCGATGCCAACTTCTGCAGGTCTGCCAAAGGCCTTGCTGGCCAGGAATGCTGGGATATGTGGTCCCATAGAAAGGGAAAGCGGCAGTAAACTCAAGATGGTTTGCATTTGTGTATCTCCTGGCCAAGAAGCTGCGCAAACTCTCCACAGTACGTGGTTGAGATGACATTGTGTAGCACTTTGTGAAGATTTTCAAGGAGCTGGTCCAAAATCCTGACAGTTACAGGTTGATTGTTGGGAGAAACTTAGAAATGCAAGTATTACTATTGGCTCATTTTGAGTTCTGTAAAGGAGAGAAAGTGGAAACCGACATTTTGTCCAGGTAGATGGTTTCTTTTTGTCAGTAAAAGCAGAGCAGCTGTGTTTCCTGGGCAGTAAAGAGAGAGAACTTGTAGATTTAGGCTGAACAGCTGTCAGCAGCCTGCTGAACACATTCTGCCAAGTTTATTTAATTCTGGTCCATAATAACACTTAAATTAATCTTAAATAATGAAGATAATTTGACAGTCAGCTCACTGAGCACTTTAATAAGACTGAATGACCGGCTTTGTTTGAATAAATGGGTTATTTTGCAAGCAGGACAAATGTTAAACTAGCATTATTTTTAGATCAAAATGCTAGGAGGTCAGAAACAATTAGAGGCACTGTATAGTGGGAATTACCAGGGTTTGTGTTCCTTTGGCTTTGACACTTGGATAAAATTGCTTTTATTGCAGCTTAGAGACCTACTAGCACATTTCTGATAAGATAAGGGATAATGACTGAGTCGGCATATTTAACCAGGAGAGATTAGGACCTGGGGGCAGAACGGTGTGGCCTTTTCATTCACACCCAATGAGAATAGGAAAGGTCTCAAAGATCTTAGTAACAGTATCAGCTACAAGGCATCCCGTGCAGTGCCTCCTTTTTAAAATGCAAAGGGGCAAATAGAGCTTAGCAAGCAGATAATGTTGTGACCCCCCAAGTTGTACTTAGGCCGGATCTTTGTTTGAGGCGGTTGATCTAACTGGAGCTGGTAACATTTTACGCAGGCAGCATATTGTCAGTGCTCAGCACATAATTTTTGTTGGTTATATTTATATTGTATCTCTAACCCTGCGTAATCAGATTAATTTGGGGGTAACAAAATAGTGATCCACAGGCACATGACACAATCTAAGAATGGAACAGGGCTTCTTCATAAAAGAACAACGTAGCACTACTTGCTTTGAGCTGGGCAGGAATCTGGTTCGTGCAAGTGTGCCACACGTGGCTCCTCTTACCTGAGCAGGACCCCAAAGCGACGGGTGCGTGAAGACCCAGTGTGCAGGTCGGCTGTTTTCATCCCTGCTCTCATTGCGACTACAGCTGAGCCCAAAATTTCTGTTACTAAGCGAGACATTTCTAAGTGAGTTTGGCTCCCTTTTACAAACCTTTCTTGCCAGTCGCTAACTGAACCACTGCAGTTGTTAACTTAGTAACTGAATCTGGTTTTCCCACTGACTTTGCTTGTCAGAAGGTTGCAGAAGGTGATCACGTGACCCCGGGACACAGCGACTGTCATAAATGGGAGTCAGTTGCCAAGCATCTGAATTTTGATCAAGTGATTGTGGAAATGCTGCAAGGGTTGTAAGAGTGAAAAAAACGGTCGTAAGTTGCTTTTTTCAGTGGCGTTGTAACTTTGAATGGCCGCTATGTGTTGTAAGTTGAGGAGTGCTTGCACTGGTGGCAAAGAACTGTCTCCACCCCCCCCCCAAAGCGAAGGGTATTGAGAACCCAGGTTTTCTCTTTTAATCTAGAGCAGAGGCCCCCAGCCTTTTGGGCACCAGGGACTGGTTCCGTGGAGAGGTTTTTCCGTGGACCGGAGGGGGTGTGGTTTTGTGTGCTGCCTGCATCCCATGGATGGGGCTTTGCTTGTTTGTGTGGACCAGTTGCTGGCATGCCGCGGCCCAGTACCGGTCCACAGACTGGGGATCGGGGACCCTTGATCTAGAGAAAATCTCCTGCTGCTTCTTTGTGGAAGTATATCATCCCACTAGGAGACAGGGAGGAAACATAAGCAACAGGATTATTTTGATCTCAGTAAACAGTTGCCAAGGCTTAAACTGAGCCAGGTTGAAATGGAGCCACGTCATTTTGCTCTGTCACTACCTCTGATCGGGTGTGTCTGCCTTTTCCCAGGTACGGATTGAGGACGACATTGTGGTGACAGCCAGGGGAATGGAATTGCTGACTTGTGTCCCTCGTACGGTTGAGGAAGTTGAAGCCTTCCTGTCCGAGGCTCAGGGCAGCACCAAATCTTTTGCCTCAGCCTCTAGCTAGGTGTGCCAACTCCTCACTTGCTCTTTGGTGCTTCTTACAGCCTGCCCTGCACCTCAAGAAAAGCCTGCTTGTAAAGGGAATAAGCCTTCAAAATCAAACTTAATTTTTTTCTATGGGAAAAGGTACGGGGAAAAGGTGGTGGCACAAACGACCAAATCTGATTATGCCTGACTTGATTCTCCCTCTTGCCTCTTTGCAAGTTTTGCCCTGAGTGACGGGTGCAGCTGCCATTAAGCAAATACAAGAATCAGTGCAATAGAATCTTCTCCTTTTCTTAATAGCCAATAAAGGGCACAAGCTCTGCCAATGAAATAAAAAGCGTTTACTTTGGTCTTCCGTATCTTTTTCCGAGATCCTCTTTTCAGGGTTCAGGTTTTGAAAGGCTTGACTATGCCTCAGTCGCCTTGAAGGTGAGAGGTGGAAAAGAGGCCGCTCCTGTCTGCTTTGGCCCCGTTTCCCACAACTCCCCGTCTCCCCCTTCCCTTTGGCCCAGGAGAAAGAGAAGCAAGCAAGTCTTGCCACAACTCCCAGACAAGGACTGCCCTCAGCACGCTCATGGGAGTAGCTTAGTGGCTCTGTTGGGTTCTTCTCAAGCGTGCAACTCCCAACATTTATTTCCTTCAGAAAACACGCCCGGTTAGGGATGGAAACCTCAGCTTCACGTTATGCCCAACTAACCTTGGCAACAGAGAGGCAAAACTTCACTTGAAATTCATATTCATTTTGTCTAATAGTTGCAATTTGCATATATGCTTGAATAGTATGGTAGTCCTTGACCTATGAACAGATTTCCAGTCATAAACCATTATAGTCCTAAGTCACTGGCACCAAACATTTTTTTTTTACAAGATTGTTAAGTGAATCTCCATGGTTGTGTGAATGGTTTTTTGGGGGAGCTGGAAACTAGCAAAAAATATTGCCAATTGTGGCCAGAGGGCACTGCAACTGGTTGCAAAGGTGAACTGCTTACCAAGTGCCTAAAATGTGGTCACATGACCGCAGGACTGGCGGGTCAGAAGTGCTTAATGGGCCCAAGAGTGCCTATTTTGGGCCCATCATAATTTTGACCTATGGTTAAGGGACTTCATAAGTCAAGGATTTCCTGTAATGTTTTACTTCAAAACAGAGTTTCAATGCCTATATACTTTAACAGAGTTCCCCTTTTAAATGAGAAGCCTGCAAACAAAAATCTGAAGAATGGCCCTTTAAAAAGCAGAGAGAGAGATAAGAAAGTGTGGAACCTGTAGAACTAGAAAATTATACAAGAATAAATCACAAGCAACTTAAGTATGTACCAGATTTTCAAAAATACTTACAGAACACTTAAGTAGGAAAATAAAATGCCAAGGAATTAAAATACTAATTAAAAGAATCAAACAGAATGTGAGCGTGCTTAGCAACTGTGTTGCAATAGATTTGTAAAGGGTGGAAGATATAAATAGCTTTTTCACTTCTGTGATGTAATAGATAAATGTTTATCAGGGATAAATATTAAAAGTGATGCCAAGAATGCAATAAGAATGGTTAATATGAAAAACCAAGCACATAAATACATTTAAAGTTAAATGAAAGCCAGAATTGCAGAAGGGGAGCAGACAAGCTAAGTTGTGAAATTAGATGAACTTTTCTCCTGGCATGAAAGAAGAAAGTAGATATCCCATCCCAACTGAGCTTCAAATTAAATGGAACAAGTATGTTGCAAGCATTTAAAAAAAATGGAAAAAGTATTTGAAAACTTGGTATGACTGACTTTTAAGGAAATTATGGAAGCAGGTCACACAAATGGATACGGATTGCAAAATAATCTCTTACCTGTATTTTTACATTTTTAAATGTCACATTTGATCTACAAATACGTAAATGACTTCTATAATAAGAAATTTTAAATATAAAAGATGAAGTTTATTGGATGAAAGAGGGATTCTGTAGGTTTTTTTAAACCATTCTGCATGCAATGGTTCTTGTATAATATACTCAGGTATATTTTTATACCTCTCAAGGGTGATCTTCTAATCACAAAACTCCATTCCCCTTCCTATCTCTCCAAATTCAGTATTATTGGAACTGCAGCTTGTTAGCCTGAAACTATTAGGCTTCAAATACAAAATATTAGCTTTACAGAAATGTAGGTCAGCATATTGTCGTAAGACTTTTTATTAATATTTTCTACCACAATCGAGTTTTTCTAAATACATGTACAAACACAATAACTTCAAAAAAGAGGAGGTATAAAAGTCAATTTTCACTAGTCCAGTCCTATGCAAACATACTGTGAATGGAGAGATTGTGAAAAAAAATGTTTCATGAACTTCCCTGCTATTAAATACGTTTTGTTTTATATATAAACCACCAGCATTTGAAGTGTCAAATAGTCTCATGTTTGTGGCCGCAGGATTGCCACAAAGCAAAAGATGTAATTTTATGCACTGTTGGAAATATGATTGTGTGTTTTTGGTTCACTGTGGAATTAAATTTGAATCTGGGTAATAAATAACAAGGTTTTAATATATGTTTTTTTCCCTTCTCAAACAAGGAGTTCCTTCTGCTCAGGAATCTTCTTCTTACTTGAATCTCAAAAACAAAGCAGTTCTGCCATGGACTGTTACAAAATTAAAACCTTGCTGAAGATGGGAGAAGGGCATGATGTAGTTCTTCTGTTGTGGCTTTTATTTATTTATTCGTTTTATTTATTAAATTTATATGCCACCCATCTCACTATCGAGAGCAACTCTAGGTGACTCTTAACTACCTTTTTTTTTCATCCTGCCTTTATCATTTTTATAAATAAAGCAGCGAGCATACCTAATACACCTCCCTCCTCCACTTTTCCTCACAACAACCCTGTTAACTGAGCTGGACTTTCATGCCAGGACGGAATGAGAGTGACTGACCCAAAGTCACCCAAGCTGCCTTTCCTGTCTAAGGCGGGACTGGAATTCACACCCTCCTGAGCCAAGTGCTTCACCATTAAGCCAAACTAGCTCTCAATTATTTTGAATGGTATCTGTCCCCAACCCTTGCAAGCTTTGAATTGATTTCGGAGCAAGCCACAAACACCCCCAAGCACAGAGCCATAGGGTTAGGCTTATTTATGGTGGGAACCCTGCTACAGTCTCATGTTCAACTCTTGATTGACGCTGCATGAATCCATCCAGTGAGAATCTTGAACCTGCATGAAGGCACCAATTTGCATCCACACTCTAGGCAACTCACTTAGAGATTGCTAGAAAAGCAGCAGCAGTAGCTGGGGAAATCCTGCCCCCCCCCCCCAAAAAAAAGAAACAAAATTCCTGTGCAGATACAGTGCAGATATTTGTAGACAGTCACTACTGTTGCCCAATTCCTTTTGGCCGCAGGGGTGAAGGTGGAAGTTGTTCCCGCCTAGAATAGACCCATTTTCAGACCACAGACAAGGCAGGGCTTGGAGAAGACCACAACCCTCGTGTGTTAGCCAGCCTTCCTGCCTTTCCCTTAACTAAACCATTTGTTAGGCACCGCTACTGAGCAAACCTCAACTACAGGAGTTGTACACAGCAAATACTTGGGCTACATATTTGAAAATCCCAACCTATACTACAAAATAAGTCATGCATTCCCAAAAATAAGTGGAAAAGGAAAATCTTAAAGCTTATTTAATCAACTCTTCAACCGATTATCAGTATGTGGATATTTGTTACCTTGCTGGGAAAAAAAAAGCTGTCAACCGAACAACTAATTTAAGGCTTTCAACCATTTTATAAAGATAATTTGAAGTAGGTAAATTTGCACATGAATATCTGAGGATTGTTCACACTTTCTTTGATCCACACTTGCCTTGCAGAATCTCTTCCTGGGCAAGATAAACTGGAGATTGAGAAGAATGTCTGTAAATTCTTACCTTAAAAGAGTTTATATTTTGAAAAAAAATATTGCCCAATCATCATGCCCAGAAAAGATTTAAATAACTTAATAAATGATGCAGTTCTAATTTTAGTGACAGTAATTTGAGGATGTTTCCCTATTTCTTTCATTTATTAAAAAAACCAACAAGAAAATACATTAACAAGTTAAAACAAATACTTAACATAAACGTTCAATTTCCTGGCATCAAACAGAGTGATAAGTCTACTGAAAAACGATGTCAAAAATGATAGATGATACAAAGTTTAAAGCAGATTCATTTCCATTCTATTATCCAAGTGGTAAAAGAAAGTTCACAGTTTATCTACTGTCCAGATCCATCTGAATGTGTTGCAGAGTTTTCTGTGCCCAGAGGTTGCACACTGTCTGTGAAGTTGTGAGCGTGCTCAAGAAACAAATCTTTCAGTACACTCAGCTCCTTTGTAAGGAGCTTGATTTTGGCCTCCAAGCGTTCATTTTCTTCTTTTAGCTGGTTTACCCTCTGGAGGGTATCCTGGGCTTTCTGCTTACTTTTCAAGCGGCTCTTTTTCACTGCCATGTTATTACGTTCCCTGCGCTGGCGGTATTCATCACTGTTTCTGTCAACAATGGAATTCTTTTTGCCCTGCTTACTAGGAGGTGTAGCTTTGCCCCCACCTCCGGGACTAACAGGTACCAGCTGAGGAACTTGTTGCAACCCACTTGTGTGCGCTTGGGTATAGATGACACTTACTCCATTGGTTTCTGCAGCTGAGTTCTGTTGTGATGTCTTGCTCATTTGGACAAGCTCTTCTGTAGACCCAGCGTGATGGATGAGAAAAGAAGTTCTGGAATTTCAAGATATGCCTGGAACGGCTTTCCACAGACTCTCACGCTAAATCTAGAAAGAGAGAAAAATACAGTTTTGTTTTTCTTTTTTTCAAAATGTATAAAGTGACATCTCCTCAATATGGTTTTCCATCAATGTCTACAGTGGATGCCTATCCAGGCAAATGTCACAGGTGTTTCTTGCTGCAGGTATATTGTTTACATTTCCCAGTCACCATATTTGGATTGTAATTCATTCACAGTTGTACCAACCATATCTTAAATTATATGCTGTCAGATGTAAGATGAACATTTTGCCCAAATGAGGGCCTAACATTCATTATGTTAGTATACATGTGATATTGGTGAAACCAACATTAACTTAAACTGTGACTCAATCATGGGTTGAATACCAATATAAGACGAATATCAACATCCATTCCAATACAAAATTATTACCACTATTTGCCACACCATAAAAAAAGATTACACAAGCTTTTAATCCTATTCTGTCAGGTTCTTCCTTCTTATAAAATGGGATGCAAGTGGAATGAGTGCCACACTAAAACAGAGATACTGCAGGGGCCCAGGAATGATGCTCTTAGATCTCATCTATCTCCCATATGCCAATGCCGTTTGGAATTCATTTTTAAAATATTATGCACAGTCAAAACTCCCAATACTGTTATTGCACTATTGCTGAAAGAAAGACTGTATCCCCTCCAAATGGACAAACTTCAGAAATGTTAAGATCTGGCTTGAATTACATAAGCTGTTAGCAACAGAGTAAGAGGGTCATCTTTACTCACAACAAGGGTTCTGAAGTGAACAAATCAGTATTGAGTGTGATATTCATCTATGAATGCACACATTTTGGCCTCCAGAGGCAAGCAGATTCAAAAACCATATGCAAAGCATTTTTTTCTGCATTCTATCTTAGGTAGCTTACATTTTTTCAATGGCATTATATTTTGATAGCTATATAGTGAATATGATTTTCCTATTGAAAACTGCAACTTTATATCCAGGAAATATGTAAATGCTCTAGTTACAAGCAGTCGTGTTAGTTGATTGATCGCATTCCTGCTTCCCTCTCAGCAACACGCAGGGATGCTTTCAGCTATCACAAAGGGATCCCTAGTGGATAAACGTCTAGCCAGGGCCTGAACTGTTTCCAATTTCATAACCTTCGCTTGGCAACTGTGCTTACTGTTTAACTTCTGCTCTATTTTGAAGATCTTTACTAAATTATTTCCAACTGGAATGTATTGTTGGAACCAGTGTGGAAGGAAGGGAGTGTGGCGGGCGGGGGGGGGGAAGCAAGAACAAGGCTATTTGGCCTTCTAAAATTTGAATGTGAAGAATTTTGCACACACACCCCTTGCAGGGTGGTCAGAAACAAAAGGCCAAGTTGATCCTTGGGTGGCTGCAATAGAACAAAGTGAAGGTTCTGGAGTGGCCATCACAATCTTCTGACTTCAGCATCATTGAGCCACTTTGGGAGATCTTACATCTGCAGGCCATGCCAGACAGCCAAAGAATCTATAGGACATGGAGGCTTTTTGCCAAGAAATAGGGAAGCTTTTAATTCAGTGTCTATCAGCTTTGCCAACTTAACAAAACTAAAATGCAATGTTTCCCAAAAAGATTTGGGACCAGCACTATATGTAAGATACCCCAAACTGCTTCTGGCAGGATTTACTTCTTAAAACTGCCAAATTGTCCCTAGAATGGCATATTTTAATGAGGGAATGGAATGTTCTGAAATTGGGGAGTTGTGCCCTAAATCCATATGGAAATCCACATGCAAGGCTCTATCCTCCTGCTCCTACCAAACGCAAAGCAAGGAGTGATAAAAGCTATCTGTATTGTTTCCTGTTGAAAGAAACAACACATAAAGCACAAAAACACATGAATCCCCAAACATACGTCATACCCCAAAAGCCTTATCCTACATGAGATCATTTCCCTTTCAGCTCCTAAAAAACATATGAAAAGGTTTAAGATGATGCAATGTTGTCATCAATTTGCGGAGTTAATTTTAAAAAGTGTTTTTTTACCTCGTTTGAAGCTTATCAAACAGCTTACAGACTTCACCTTTCTGTCCTTCACTGAAAAAAGGTGGGAAATCTTATCTCTATGATTTGCTATTAAATTTCATCAGCACAATCTGAGGAAATTGTAAGACAATATTGGGGTTACATGTCCATCTTTGCCTTACATGGCAAAGACCTTATTATGGTAAAGAGGTAACTATTGTGTCTGCACATATTTCCAGCTGAGGACCACTACCTGGAGAATAGTCTGACCCCTGAGAATATACAAGGCAACAGCCTTCATTATAATCAGTGACACCAATACCCTTCCCCTAGGTTTTTTTAAATTACTAATTTTAAAATTACACAATGAAAAACAGGTAATACCTAATCATAGGGAATAGATTTAAAACACTGCATCACAGTCTGCCACAACGGTTTCTGAAAGTATTGGTTAGATCTTAAGATCTAAAAGGATAATTGGAATTTTTTTTCAAAATCCATTAAAACATTTAAAATAAGTTTCCAAATTGAACTCAACTCCTGGGACTTCATGAGCATATTTCCTTGGCAACAGCACAGAAGTGGTTTGCTATCACTGCCTTCCTTCTGGGATGCTGACTTCTCAGTCTAGTCTATCACCTCGGGATTCCCATGGCCTCCCATTCAAACGCTGAGCAGGCCTGACCTTGCTTAGCTTCTGAGCTTGCAATATTTTACAAACCATAATATTGTAACCATCCTGAGTTACTGTAAGACAAGTTAAGACAGAATGCTTCCAAAATGCTTCCGTTGGAAAGGCATTAAGGCTAATCTTTTTAGTGCAGAAATCCAAATTACAATATCCCAGATAGAAGCTGTCTCTTGCAACACATGCTACTGCTTTTTGAGACAATCTGTTCATACCACAAAGCTTAAACTGAGGAATTGCAATACACACGCAGCAGCTTAAATTCCAATGTCAATGTGTCTTTACTCTGAATACTTTGGCTGCTGGTATTTCCAACACAAGCCACAGCACTGAAGTTCTTTAGAACTTCTTCAAGTAGTCATCAATATAGTTATACTCCTAAACATACATATCCCTCGCAGAATTTGTAAGAGTTTATATATAAACATGAGCAATCAGATAAAGCGCAATAAAGGAAATAAAATGATCCTATTTAAAGGTTTCCATGCTCTTAGCTTTTAATACTATGCATTGCCCGTTCTAGCATCAATGATGGCTTGCAATCTTTCATGACAGTGGTGACTAAGGCTTTTTCCCCCTCACATGGTAAAAAGCTTCCCTATTTCTTGGCAAAAAGCCTCCATGTCCTATAGATTCTTTGGCTGTCTGGCATGGCCTGCAGATGTAAGATCTCCCAAAGTGGCTCAATGATGCTGAAGTCAGAAGATTGTGATGGCCACTCCAGAACCTTCACTTTGTTCTATTGCAGCCACCCAAGGATCAACTTGGCCTTTTGTTTCTGATCACGTTGGAAAGTCCAAGCGCCCCCCAGGTCCAAGGCCGATGAATGCAAATTTCCTTCCTGAACTTTATGCTAATGTGCTGAATGTGCTTGATTTTTCTTAGCATCCCAAACCATTTTCCTGACAATTGTGTCTGACATCCTTCTTGTCTACCTGACTAGGACTTGGTATTAATAGAACCCTACCTTTCCACTTTCTGATCAGCATTTGAACAGTACTTATTGGCATTTTCAAATATTTGGATATATTTTTATATCCTTGTTCCTGATTTACAAAGTTGAACTACTCTTCCTCGCAGATCCTTTGACGGTTCTTTCACTTTTGCTATGCTTCAGTAACCAGCAAAGTCAGTGCAGCCCTGGGTGAAATGCAGAAGGCCTTATCGAAGAGCTATGAAACTCTGGCTATTTATACACAGACTCCAATTACAAACAAGGCACAGGCATGGTACCCACCCTTCAGCGACCAGCCCGGAGGAACCGAGGCGGGGATTCCACCCCAGGCTCGCCTGATGCAGGCAGAAAGGCCCCCCGCCCGCCCCCTTTCCGGAGCAGGGAGGCCGCGACGCCGGCCGGGACTTTCCCCGCCCGCCAAGCATGACTTCATCCCAGCAGGGACCGGCCAAGTTGCTCCCAGGTTGCATCATCCCGCCGGGCGCACGCGCGTGCGCACTCCCGCTTCCCTACCTGTCGGGACGCGCCGGGACCCCTCCGGCCAAGGGGGAGGAGGGGGCGCGGCCGTGGCAACAGCCCCGCCGCCCACCAAAGGGGAGACCGCGGGGGGGGGCAGAGGGTAGGCGGAGTCCGAGGCGAGCCGGACTCCGGCGGCAATTGGTCCGGAGGGGGAGTTGGCCTCAGAACCCTAGGCCGGCTTCCCACGCGCGGGAAACGGACGGGTAGGCCCAGCCCGGGGCCTCGCCCCCGAAATCCTTCGGCCGGATGCCGCCAGACGCCCGCCGAAGCCTTTGCCAGCGGCGGAGAGGACGCCGCGAGCCACCTACCTGGCCCGGGAGGAAGGCGCGAGCCCCACCAGCCCCGACTCGGCTCGCCGCCGCCGTCCTTTCTCCGGAGAGGCGGGAGCAAGAGGTTGCGAAATGTCCGACAGCCAATCGCGAGCCGGATTACTTCAGGGCTGATGCAATCTCCCTGCCCGCTTGCAACTGGCGGGTGGCTGGCCCAATTGCAGATCAGCTGCCCAAGAATGCGCCTCCCTTACCGCCAATCGCAGAATTAGGCGGAATGACTGAGCGAGAGGTGGGCGGGGATGTCCTTTGTGCTTCCTGAGGCGAGCGGGGGGGGTCTGAGTTGCGTTTACACAACCCGCGTAACGCGAGTCAGCAAGCCCCGAATCTGTGTTCGCGCATGTAATATCTATGACCATACAGTCGTCACACGATGGCCCAATTTACGCAACATACAAAGACTGGGTTCCAACAGGCCTCCATAGCGAAAAGGAAAGGAATCAAGTTGGCCTATGGAAGTAACCTCAAGAGTCTGGATGAAAGTACTCACTTCAAATACTTGGATATCCTTCAAACTGACAATATTAAATCAAGAAGGGTAGTAGAATACAGTACATCAGAAATGAAGAAAATCTTAAAAGTCCAAATTCAGTGGTAGAAATACCATCAAGGCAATTAACCCCCCTGGAATAGCGAACTAGACTCGAGAAGAACTAAAAGCCTTGGATAGGAAGACCAGGAAAATAATTACAACAAATCATGCCCTTCAGCCACACGGCAATATTGACAGTCTACCTACCAAGGAAAGCAAGTGGGCAGTGAATGTTGCAACTACATCAGACAGCGGAAGAAAAAAAGGGGACATTGGAAGACTACTGAAGGACAGTGACTAATATGCACCGAATACCAGGAAGGTTTACTGAATACTGGAGAGATCAAACTGGCCTACAAGAAAGACCAAAGGAAGAATAGGAAAGAGACATAGTAAGGTTAGTATGTCAAAAAAAAAAAAAAAAAGCAAAACAGATAACAAGACCAGGCAATGGCTAAGAGCAGGAAAATTGGAGAAAGAGACAGAGGGACTAATTATGGCTGCACAAGACCAAGCCTTAAGAAGAAATGCATACAAAACCAGAATTCAGAAGACTACAACAGATAGCAAATAGCATCTCTGCAAAGAAGCTGAAGAAACAGTGGACCACCTAGTTAGCTGCTGCAAGAAGAATGTACAAACTTAGTACAAATAACACTATGACAAAGAAGTAATAACAACATATTGGAATATTTGCAAGAATTATCATTTGCCTGCAAGCAGGAACTAGTGGGACCACAAAATAAACAAAGTAATAGGAAATGGAGAAGTTCAGGGAGTTTAGAATTCAAACAGGCTAGCACCTGCCACATAATGCTCCAGAGAGGGCAGGAAGACAATTGTTAGTAAGAAAAAAAAAGTCTGGACAGCAGAATATAAGTAAAAGAACTGGAGGAAAATCACAAAATACAAAGACTTAGAAATAGAATGATTGTGGCAAAGGAAAGCAAAAATAGTACCAATAGTTAACGCATGCTTGGGTGCAATCCCAAAACATCTGGAGCCCCATTTGGACATCATCAGCACTGACAAATTTACTATCAAGCAATAAGAAAGGCAATTTTATTTGGAACAGCTTACATCCTGTGGCAATATCTGTGATACCATCAAAAATCCACATCTGTCTTTCCCATCTCGTTGGGAAGGACTCTATAGGCAGACAAAAAATCCAGTCTGAGCATCTGACTGACTGTGTGATGAACCATAGTAGGAAATAGAACAACTGGAAAAAGAAAGCAAAGGTAGAATCAGAAATAATAGGTGCCTTGGTGCAATCCCAAAACAACTGGAGCACCTTGAACATTATCGGCATTGACAAATTCACCAAGAGTCAACTGCAAAAAGCAGCTTTACTTGGAACAACTTGCATCCTGCGACCATACTTCTAATACCATCAGACATTAAGATCTGCCACCAGGGTGACTAAGTCAACCTTAAGGTAAACAAGTCCTGTTTGAAGGCATCCAGCAAAAGTGATACCACTCGGCCCTTGGCTGCTCTGTTGAATAACTGGATCTGTTAGGAAGTTTTCTCTAATCTTCAGGGAAAATGTGCTTTCCTATAACTTACATTAATTATTGTGTCCTCCACTGAAGTGACTATAGACAGCCACAGGTTGTCTAGTTTCTCTGCTGAATTTATTATTGCAATTACAATAATTAGCATTTATTTAATCTGAAGTCTAAAACCTAGGTTAAAAGGAGATAGAGATCCTTATTAGAATTGGTTTCTTAATTCTGTCTAACTATCATGTTACCAGTAAAGCAAACAGTGGCACAATTTGCTATGCTGCTGGCAAGAAAAATTGCTCTCTCTTCGGAAGAAAAATAAAAAGCTGATTTTCTTGCTGCCTGGAATATATCGTTATTGAAGTCTGACAAAAGTCTTTATAAGTAGTCCTCGACCTATGACCACAACTGAACAAAATTTCTGTTGCTAAGCAAGACATTGAGTTTTTCCCCATCTTATGACCTTTCTTGCTACAGTTGTTAAGGGAACCTCAGCAGTTGATAAGTTAGTGAGTGAATATGGCTTCCCGATTGACTTTGCTTATCAGAAGGTCGCAAAAGGGGATCACGTGACCCCAGGACACTGTGACCATCATAAACGTGAACCAGCTGCCAATGATGTAGCACCCTCATTAAACCTGTAGCCGCCACCTGAGGTCCAGGGTGCAACCTTAGAGCCATAACATGTAGCTATTTTTTAAGTACTTGTTCAATTTCTTCTCCCCCCAGCTTCTAGTCTGTCAAAGTCTTTGAAAAGCTTACTAGCCGGTTTTATGACATTTGCTTGGCCGCCGTAAAGATACTGTTCAGTTGTGACTTTGGACCTATAAAGTTATCTATACTTTTGACAGAACAAAATCATGCTGAGTGGTGTTATCAGTAAAGATCCCATAGGAACGGTAAGAAGAGCAGCCAACGCTTCTGATAAAAGCTCTCACGGCTGATCTTTGAAAACAGTCCAAATGCCAGGGTTGAGATTCTGCAGGTAGTTTTAACCTTTCAACCATACAAAACAGCTTATTTTCATAATGCTTTTATCATTCAAAACTTTTCCTTTTTTATTTTTTTAGAAACCACACAGGCACAGGAATAGGCAACATTTCATAGTCAGTGGCAAATATATAATTTTAAGAGCTTAAGAGGAAGCCTTAAACTTCCTGACCAATTTGTTTTCATAAGTTTGTCCTCCACCACTATAGCCTCCTCCCTTAGGATGAGGTGAAGGGGGGGGGGTGGATTAGAAGACCTCCAAGGTCCTTTCCCGCTCTGTTCTGATTGATTTTTGTTGCTCTTCTCTGCATTCTTTCTGGGGTCTCAACATCTTTTTTGTATTGTGGTGACTAGGACTGTATGCAATATTCCAAGTGTAGCCTCACCAGTGCAGTATGGAGAGGTGCCATCACTTCTCGTGATTTTGAAGCCCCCTAAGATTGCCTGAAATTCAGTGTGGAAGTTTTTCAATGCACGTGACAAGGTCCAGCCCACAAATGTCCAGCGATCAAAAATGTCCACCTCAAATTTTTTTCACTTCACTGTTAGACTTTCTGTTCCAGCTGCTGATGAACTGAATGCCTCCAGAGAGTATATTTGCTCTTATGTGAGAGTTTTCTCGTCAACTGATAGAGGGCACTCTTTCTGTTTCCAAAAAACACTTGGGGTACAAATGCCACACAGAAGCGGCACCAGCGTCTTGGCTCTCCGAGTTCCCAACTTGCCCGTCTAACGGGAGGGGAGACACTTCTGCAGGCAGCCCTGGACAACTGGGGGCGGCTGATCCAGAAGCCCACAACCTGCAAGTGGCCAGAGAAAATCCAGTTGGGCTGTGCAGCTCCTTGACGGAAGGGTGATGGAACACCGTGTGGTCTATTTGTGAGAAACATCTTCGTGGGATTGGACTAGTCATAACTAAAAGCTGGAAATTACCATCTGGGAATTATATAATGGTGATTATATTATACTTGAGGATTTATATATTTATTCAATAGCCAATCACCTGTTCACACATCTTTGTGTGGTTTTTAACTCTATACATTTACTTTGTTGTTGCTGATGTTGGCCATGAAGATACAGGTAGTCCCCAACTTACAAAAGTTCGTTTAGTGACCATTTGAAGTTACAACATCTTTGAAAAAAGTGCTGATGGCCATTTTTCACACTTACGACCATCCCAGCATCTCCATGGTCACGTGATCAAGATTCAGATGCTTGGCAACTGACTCATATATATGACGGTTGCAGCGTTTCCCCGGGTCACGTGATCCCCTTTTGCGACCCTCTGACAAGCAAGTCAATGGGGAAGCCAGATTCACTTAACAACTGAATTGCAGCGATTCGCCTAACAACCGCGGCAAGAAAGGTTGTAAAATGGGGCCAAGCTCACTGAACAACCCTCGCTTAGCAACGGAAACAGGCTCAATTGATGTGGTAAGTCGAGGACTACCTGTAGTTTGCAATGAAATGGGGGGGGGAATATTTTAAAGGCTGCCTATTCATGTGCCTCCCTCGCCTCCCTCGGGCTCCGCTCAAAGGTTCCTTGGCCTCCCGGGAGCCCTTTGCCAGGCTCCTTATCTTTCTTCCAGGTGTCTGAGCCTTTTGGACGGCCCTGATCGGCCCGGTCATTCAGGAGGGGAAAGGGTGCTTTTGGCCCCTCTCCAAGGCGCTGGGAAAGGCAGTCCGTGCCAATACACACCCCCGCCCCGCCCCCGCCCGGCTCTTGGCACGAGAAGCGCTTGGGAGGGAGGGAGGGAGGGGGGAGCCGCCGGCTGCGGAGGGCCCTGCTGGGGGTCGTCATCGACGAGGCCCGCTTGAGAACCACCCCCGCGAGGGTCCCGTCCGGAAGTCGCGGGAGCCTCTCCTTCCCCGTCTTGGCGCGGCGGCGGCGCCGGGCTTTCGGAGAGCGGGCCAGGGGCTCCGTCGGGGCGAGCGGCGGGCAGGGGGGAGATCTGGGGGGCGAGGCGAGCCACGGACTGCACGCGGGTCGGGGGGAGGCGTTTCTCGGCGCCTCTGCAAGCCGGGCAGGGACGGCCCCCTCCCGCGGGGCGCTGTCAACGGGCCCGTCCAGGCAGCCGGGCCGGAGGCGGCGCCGGAGGTGGGGCGGGGAGGAACCGTCGGGGCCGGGCAGGAGCGGGCGCCAGGGGGCGCTGCTCGGCCGGCGGGTATAAATAGCCGGCCCGGCCCGACTCCGGCAGCCCAGAGCCAGCTGAGCCGCACGGCCCGACGTCTAGTGCCAGTGCCGCCGCCGCTCCCGGACCCCGCCGGCCTCCGACCATGCGCGGCGGCCCGCTTTAGCGATTCGATGGAGCCGGGCAACTTCTACGAGGCGGACGCGCGCTCCCCGATGCTCAGCGCCCTCCAGGCGTACCCGTCGCAGCAGCGCCCGCCGGTGGCCGCCGCGCACCTGCCCTCCGCCGCGTTCGGCCTCCCCCCGCCGGCCGGCCCCTTCGGCTACCTGGCCGCCGCGGAGCTGCCGGAGATCTGCGAGCACGAGACGTCCATCGACCTGAGCGCCTACATCGACCCGGGCGCCTTCAACGACGAGTTCCTGGCCGACCTCTTCCAGCACAGCAAGCAGCAGCAGGAGCGCGCCGCCGCCAAGGCCGGGCTGGAGTGCGCCGGGGCCGGCATGCCGGGCACCGGGTTCCCGCCGGGCGGGGGCGCGCTCTACTGCTACGCCGAGGAGCGGCTGGGCTCGGGTCCCCCGCCGCTGCCCGGCCTGCGCCCGCTGCTCATCAAGCAGGAGCCGCACGAGGACGAGGAGGCGGCCGCTCTGGCCGCGCTCTACCCGCCGCCGCCGCCGCCGCCGCCCGCCGGCCCGCCTTGCAGCCACCTCCAGTACCAGGCGGCGCACTGCGCCCAGACCACGGTGCACCTGCAGCCCGGAGGGCAGCCCACCCCGCCGCCCACGCCCGCGCCCAGCCCGCACGGCCCCCACCCGCCCCACCGCCTCCACGCCCGGCCCGGGACGCCCGCCGCCCCGTCGGGCAAGGGCAAGAAGGTGCTGGACAAGGGCAGCAGCGAGTACCGGGTGCGGCGCGAGCGCAACAACATCGCGGTGCGCAAGAGCCGCGACAAGGCCAAGCAGCGCAACGCCGAGACGCAGCAGAAAGTGCTGGAGCTGAGCAACGACAACGAGCGGCTCCGCAAGCGCGTCGAGCAGCTGAGCCGCGAGCTGGAGACCCTCCGCGGCATCTTCCGCCAGCTGCCCGAGAGCTCGCTGGTCAAGGCCATGGGCAGCTGCCCCTGAGCGCCCCGAGAGGCCCGACCCTGCCCTGCCCGCTCCCTCGGGCGTCGCGGGGCGGAGGGCCGGCTCCCCGCCAACCCCGCCAGGGCCCGGCCATCGGGAGCGGCCGCCGCTCTTCGGGGACCCCGCCTGGCTTCCCCGCCGAACTCCGCCTCTTCCGGGCAGCCGCGGACAGAAGGTTTGGGGCCGCGGGAAGCGCGGAGCCCGGCGCGGCTGAGACCTTGAAGCCTGGCCGGCCCGGACTGAACCCTCCGCTTCTCCGCTCGGGATTTCGGCCGGGTCCTCCTCTTCCGCCGCCCGCCCGCTCGCCCGCTCGGCCGGCTTGTACTGTGAAAGGCGGCTCGCGTCGTTGCCGTCGTGGTGGTGATTTTTATTTGTATTTTATTGCTCGGAGCCTTGCCATCTTAGCAGCCGGGGGGGGGGGGCTGATGCTGCCCCAGGACTCTCTCCAGCCATAGGAAAAACTTGGCCACCTTTTCCTCTTTTTGTACTTTGGAGACTTGGCTTGGAATCAGATGGAGAACTTTGAACTGAGCTTAACCTGTGTAGGATGGGCCCTTGAAGGGCTTCACACTGTGCATTTGCAGGTGTGCGCGCACACACACACACACACACACACACACACACACACACACACACGTTCACACTGGTCATTTTGGGGAAAATGCTGAGCTCCTTTTCGGTGGTCCCAGTTCCTGGCCACTGTCTTGGACTCTACCTCCCAGTCAGCACTTTCAAGTTGCTCCTGCAACGGATGGACATCTTCACCTAAGTGCCAATTTTTTTTTTAATATTCACCGTACCAGGTGCCAACATTGCCTCCCTCTTCGTAAGAATTAATACCCGGGAACTCTCTCTTTGTAAGGTATATTTTGGGGGATTAAACAAAGATGCAAGACCGTTTTTAGAAATTCTGGTTTAAAATCCTGAAATAAAATGCAAACATTCTGTCATAAACCTTTCTTTTCCTGTCTGTCGTTTGCAGATTCCCCTGTGAGCCTAAAGTTTTGCGGGAGCTTATGTGCAATCCCAAATGCCTTCTGTTGCAGTCTAAACCTAAAGTAAACCCCGTGGTATTGAATGGGACTTAGCTGGTCCGCGAAGTCAGTTTATATTATTCAGGGTGTTGACGTTTATCCTTACTTGTTCTGGATAAAGTTTTATGTGCATTTGTGGACTGGTTGCTGAGAAAGGGGTTTTATAGGTTAGCTAGTTCGCTTATGCAAACTGCATTTTCCTGCATTGTATTTTGGAAGATATGTGGGTGTGGATCTCTTCCTCCATGATCTGGGATTGAGGCTTCACAGGTGTCCCATTGTTAACTGTTTCAGAGGGTGCCAATCTGGCCCTCCCAAGAGAGCATCGAAGGAACCTTTTGCTAATTTTTACTGTTCAAAAGTCAGTTTTTTTTGTAGGCTTCTGTAATTTATTTTAAATTGTATTAACTGTTCTTTGCTTATTCTTCTCTAGTTGTTTTCTCTATTTTGCCAAGTGTGGCTGTTTAAAGTTCATAAGCTTTAGTTAGCTTTCTGCCTTGAAAGCTGGCTTAGGAGTACATATACTGATGCATGTACAAATAAGTAGTTTGAGATTGTAAGTGTCTGTGCGGAAGAGAGAACAGCTGAATTGCTGCTTAGGACCCAATTTTGATTTGATAAACATTTTAATTTGCTTCTGATGAAGTCAACAAATTGCTGTGCTTGAAAAAGAGAGAGGAAAAGACCTTTCCAGGTAGATTTTTGGAAAACAACATTGCCCTTGTAACTTCTGTGTCTTTCCGAATTTTTAAACTTTTTAAAAACTGCACATTATATTTAATGCTACACTTTTGGGCATGTTCCCTGCTGAGATCCGTGCGTTTTGCTTTCTGTGGAATGAGAAATTGGTTCGGGGCCTGTCTCCACTCTGCTCTTCTTTATGCTGTTGTGCTTATCCCAGGTCATCCCCTCCTGGTGTTCTCCCAGAATCACATTCCAGCTTTTCAGCTAAAGCGTTGTATGTTTGCTGACTTGGTTCTACTTTCTTTCCTCTCCTGTATCAAAGCTAAGATTTCCTGATCATCTCCCCCACCCCATAAAAGTGGGAGCAAGGCTGGGTCCAAGGTGAAGCTTCCTTTTCCAGGCTGGTGACTTCGTTTTAACATGCTCTGCAGGGGTGGTTCTCAACTCAGCAACTTAAGATGCTCGGACTTCAATTCTCAGAATTCCTCAGCCAGCAAGTTTCCTTGGAATTCTGGGAGCTGAAGCCCACGCTCCTGAAAGTTGCTGAGATTGAGAAACGTTGCTGTACAGCACTAATCAATTCAACAACTCCATTCAAACAGGGATGAACCAAAGTGGGAATTGACCCCCTTGTCCGGTTCACACAACATACAAACCTAATCACAGGTACAAGAGAGCTGTCCTGATTCAAACATTGGCCCATTGGCTGGGTTCATACAACGTACTGAACCACAAAGCCAGTGGACTGTGCAGTAATTGCATAATGTAACGGCCACAAAATACCTCCTTAGCCAAGCTTACTGCAGGTGTGGATGTCATCCCTTTATCCTTAAGCTGAGGAAGTGAGTCCTGAATTTTTGTGTGTCCAAGAGAGACAAACCAGGCTGAGACGCTGCCAGGTTTTCAAGACATCCATGCAGCCCTGCCCAGTGTGCATCATCGCAAGTTCCTTGACCCTCTGTATCCCCCCAAAAGTTGCCCATTCACACAATACACTTCACAAGAGCTGCTCCTTTAGAACATAGAATCATGGGCTGGGAGGGACCACAGAGCGCTTCTAGTCCAACCCCCTGCTCACGGCCGGGGACCTTACTGCATCTTGGTCAAATGGTCGTCCAGCCTATTTTTGAAAACCTCCAGGGACGGAGCACCCACAACTCCAGGAAGCAAGATGTTCCACTGAGTAATTGTTCTCACTGTCAGAAAATTTCTCCTAGGTTGGAGTTCTCTTTAATGAGCTTCCATCCGTTACTTCTTGTCCTGCCCTCGGGTGCTTTGAAGAAAAAACGTTGATGCCTCTTTTCTGTGGCAGCCCCTCAACCACTGGAAGGCAGCTATCATGCCCCCCCCGAATCCTTTGAGTGACGGGAAATTCCCATTTCAGGCAAGCAGCCTTGGGTGAGATGGCTGGAACTGCTGCAAGCAAAGGTACTTACAGTATTTCCCACTGAAGGGCTGAGCAACTAGACTCTTCTGAGAAGCCGGGAGAGACCAGGGCTTAGGCCAATGCTCAGCCCTCTGGGTGTTCTGGGCAGGGAGCAGATCCCAGTGGGGAGATAGAGGATCCCCTCTGCCCAACTGGAGAATTTGAAAAAGAGGCTTTTCTGAAAGAAATTGGGAGCTGCAGAAGAAAATCCTCGGCTACCATTGCGTGCACTTTGGGAAATGCAGGATTCGTAAACACAGGGATGCAACCTACAGAACATACAATGGCCTCCCGCATTTGCATGGGAGGCAAGGGACAAGTGATGTCACATGCATTGTGACACAAGATTAAGTAATTTGCATCATGCCCATTGTGTTGTACCCCTTGTGTGCTGTTGTCATAACACACATGACATCGCTATAGCTTGCACTTGCTCAGCAGCTACCTTGCTTAGCAACAAAATTCTGGTCCCACCTGTGGTTGTAAACCGAGGACCGCCTGCATAGCATTCTTTCTTTTCTTATAAATGTTTTATTAATTTTCTATTTTCACAAACAAGTGCTCAACAGACAACGTGATGACTGAGTCCATTAGTGAATCTGTGGTACATATAAGCTTCTTCCAACTAAGTCCAATATTACACCCGCCAGTACATCCTCTCTTCTTCTGCACTAAGCAAATAAAATTCTTCTTGTTGTTAGTAAACATACAATTGCATATCAACATTTGTTACATTTTTCTAATAATATCAATAATATCTGTGTGGCAGAGATGATGACAAATATTCTAAATTTGGCCTGTCTGAATTTTGGACATAAATACTTTCAGAACTGCATAGCATTCTTTTCTTCAAGACAGCTAATGGTATATACAGTAAATGAAACAAACCACAAAGACTTGAAATCTCATACAAAAAAACCTAGTTAAAATATTAAACCCAACGTACGCTGGAGCTAGTTGCAAAAAAAGGAGAAGCGTGACAAGTTGCATTCTCCTCTGAAATTTTGCCCCTTCGCATTTTCCTTGTTTCCAGTTCTGTTTCCCATTTCTCTTCCTCCATCTTCATCCTTATCTTCATCGTCATCCCTGTTATAAAGCACAGATAATTGAACCTGAGAGGCAAATGTAGGGCTTAACTATGAATATTTATGCATTTGTTTTTTTCCTTGCTGTTACAGTAGCTGAGGTGAGGATCAAGGGTATAAATACAAGACTCAGGAGCCACTTTTGGCAAGAGATGACTAAGAGAGAAGACGTGCCTCTTAGCATGCGCCAAGCGCCTGCCCCTTGCCAGACAACCACGGCCAGCCCACAACACCCAGGGTGAGAAAAAAAAGGCAATACAGCCCATACAGGCACAAGCTCCACTATTTCGTCTTCCAGGCATTCAGAAGAGACAAAAACAGCAACTTTCCCTTTTCCTTTCCTTTCCTTTTCCCTCCTTTGAATGAAGCTGATGGTTCTGACTGAATCCAGTCAGAGTGGCTAGTTTATAGTCCTGAGAATTGCGCAAAGCAACCCAACTGGAGTAACACAATCATAGCAGATGCTTTAAGGCACAGGCCTGCCAGGAAGAGGTGAAGTGAATAGGAACTATGAGAGAAAGACAAGGCAAAAGGAAAATGGCTGCGTTATACACTGGAACTCTAGAAGTTCTTCGCCAAGTCCCTGCAGCTACTTTCCTACCTGGAATTCTTCACCAAGTCCAACATGCACCATTTCTGCCAGGCACTGTACAGAACTGAGAATACCGGCCAGGCTCTGTAGAAGTTGACCCCCTAACGGAGGCCTGCAAAGCAGATCCAAACTGCAAAAACTTAGTCAGCCACTGGGGGCAGTCAAACGATATAGAAAATAGACTCTCCCCTGCCGTCTAAGGGCCATTGGGATTACTGCAATCCCAAACAGACTGCTAAAAGAGAAAGCTGGTTCTGTCCAGCTCTGTCACTGAGCTTTTCCCAAGAGAGGGAGGTTTACAGAAAGTCTGGCAAG